GAATGCTTCAGCGTTTGGCCGATCAGTTCGGTGTGGCTGTCGTTATCACCAATCAAGTGGTGGCCAACGTTGACGCGTCCGCTGTGTTCGCCGCCGACACTAAGAAACCCATTGGCGGACACATTATGGCTCACGCGTCCACTACGAGACTGTATCTGAAGAAAGCGAAGGGCGAGAACCGTGTCTGTCGTGTGTATGACTCGCCCAGTCTTCCCGAGTCTGAGGCCATGTTCTCCATTAATACCGATGGTATCGGCGACGCGAAGGAGTAGAACAGTGGCCAACGGTTCATAGTTTAGGCTCTCATTTGATTTTAGTATTGATTTTTCACATTTTGCTTAACTTTTCATTACTTTTTATAACAGATTTTCATAACTGATAATAACTATAATTATAATTTATAACGTGTTTCTGTATTTAATTTATAAAAATAAATAATAAACGCAAAGATATTTGACTAATGAATGAATTTATTATTTCAAACAATAGATTATAATTAAAACATTAAATTAATTAATAATACAATTTAGATAACTATCACTAAAACAATAAACTAATTATAACCGATGGCCGGTAATGTCGATCTCGATGGCCATCGAGAGTGCGGTCACCGTTGTCTAGACATCATTGGCATAGTCCGCGGGGTTCTTGCGTTTGAGCCGTATATTCTCGGCCTCACCCCAGAGGTAGAGGACGTACGCCTGGAGGAAGAAGGGGCCGGCATATGGGGCCACACTATTGAAGTCGCGTTTGAAACCGCCCCACGTCTTGGCCCAGAAGTCGGGGAACGCTCTCTGTTCGTACTGCGAGAGCCGCACGTATACCACGTTCCGCACGAACGCCAGTTTGCCGAACACCTGACCACCCATTGCACCGATGAAGAGGACAGACAGTCACCGCTTGGATTGGCTTAGAGTTTGCGATAGGAGTCGGCAGTCGACCAGAAATAGAGGCCAAAGAGTTTGTTATTGTTTTTGTGATGCAATTGCAGTAATGGCTGACAAATCACTGTATGTTTCACCCCCTGTGCTCTCCCAGTGCTCTCTCTCTCTCAACGATAGTAACGCCACTCTCGGCACTGATTGGCAAATGTTTGTTGCGTTAAAATATAGTGTGATATCAATAATAAGATAATGCTTACAATTTAGGCAAAGATTTGTGTTTTATATTGTATTTAGTTTTTAATTAATTGTTTGATTTATAATACTTTTAAATGTGTTAATAAGTAAACAATTGTTTCAATAATCAATCCATTTATTCAATAATCTGGTAAAATAGGGGTCAATACAAACGCTTACATTCGTAACGTTGTATATGAAAAGTAAGTCAACTTTTATTGACATGAATTTTTTGAACGCATTTCCAATGTTTTTGAGCCGTAATTGCGGTTTGAATTCAACACTCAATTCATAATTGAATTCATTATTTAATTAAACATTTAAATCATTTTTTAGGCCAAAAAACATATGCTTTTATTAGTTTTGCGTTTATAAGTGTTGCGACAATTGTCTTGAGATGTCTTTCAAGAGCGGCATATCATTGGATAATAGCGTAAGTTTTGAGTTGTTTTCGTTTTGATTTGATTTTCTGTGTCACTAATTGTCTGATCCATTCCTCCGCAGAATCTCAAGTTTCTTGAGCTCAAGAAGTATGCGATCAATGGGTTGAACGGAACCGCTGTTCCCAATGGTGTCCAGTGTTTGGCTGTTGATAATCAACGGCAGACAGTGTTCGCCATAAATGGTTCCCAATTATCTGTCATACCATTGACTGAATTGTTGGCCTTCGAGTGGAACCGATCGGTGATTAACGAGACGTCAACACAATTGCCGGGAGTGTCCGTTGAACTCAACTTTAGGGCTCATTTCATATCGCTTTCGGCGGCGGGTTTTGGCCAAAAGCTGGCCGTTTGTGGTACTGATGGACAGACCAATAGTCCATTCATTATGTTTTATGACTTGAATGAGATCTATAGGAATCAGTCAAAGGTTTGTATTGAAATGTTTAACTCATAAATTGATTGCTTTTAATGATCACTAGAGCTGTCCATACAATCGGGTAAACCTCGCGAACAGCACAGGACTCGTCACTGACATTGTATGGCATCCGGAGATCAGCGACGATCTCTTCGGCTGTTGTGTCGCCGACGGCTCGCTGTATATCATATCTATTGGCGACGCGTCTACGAAGTCGTCCACAATTATGGCCGATATTAGACCAATGAATGGTTCGCATCCGCTGTCAATGTGTTGGTCACCAAAAGGCAAACAACTGGTTGTCGGTCACAAGAATGGCTTCTTCTCGCAGTACAAACTGAACACAACGGCCGGACATCCGCTGCAAGAGGTGAAGAAGACACCACTCATGAGTGGACTTCAAGACTATCACGTGATTGCCATTAAATGGATTGTTTCGTCACTTTTCGCGGTCGCCATCTGTAAAGACAATCCCAACGATAGGGACACTCACTTCCTCTTAGTCTCCACACCAACCAAAGCACAGCCAGTGTTTGTGGACTTCGGGTGCGTCTGTTTGGACAACTATGACGTCCAGGACTCGTACC